TTCCTCCCGGCCCAGTTGCCGTCTTCGTTTCGTTGCACATGCCGACGGTGCGCGCGCACGAAAACAGCAATTACACCGTCTTGAAGCCTACATAAAAAAAGGGTCGGAAAAATGCGAATAGCATCCCTCTTATTGCCCCCCCATACTTTTTACCCACTAAATGTGGGTTTATGGTTTGGGGGTTAGGGTTTAGGGTTTGGGGTTTGGGGTTTAGGGTTTAGGGTTTAGGAACTACTGCTTTGGGGTTTCTTGGTGCAGCCTGTGCTTTTGGTCTTCAGACGGCAAGTGCCCGGACCCTCTTTAATACGGGGCCCTTATAGGGGGTGGGGGGGGGGGGGGGTGGGGTGGGGCGTTTCAGTTAGGGTTTTGCTAGGAGGAGGAGTTACTGGCAGTGAGGTGGAGATGGGGGGGCGGGGAGGGCGGGGGGGGGGGGGGTTGATTTACTCGCAAAACGTGAGAGTACTTATAATGAAGTATTAGCGTACTTGTTAACCAATATGGGCTCTTCTTACAGGGCATGACAGGCTACACCCCTAAACCCCCTGTTATCAGCGGGTCAATAGGGCTTAGGAAAAAATCCCCTCAAGCCATCAATACCCTCGCCCCCCCCCCCCCCCCTAGCCCATTCTGCGCAGTCTTTCACAATGAAGCGCAAGGGTTGGTGTTAGCTGATCTACAGCTTAGGGCTGCAAAAAAAGGAGAGGTTAAACTGTGCCATGCTGGAGACTGCACGAGACCACATTTGGGGGCGAGCCGAGCCAAACCCCGCCCCCCGGCAAGCTTTCGCCTTCTAAGGTTCAGGGCCTGTTCGAGGAAGAGCCGCCAGGGTTTAGGGTTTAGGTTTGGGGTTTGGGGTTTAGGGATTAGGGATTAGGGTTTAGGGTTTAGGGTTTATTTGGGTATTCAAGCTGATGTTTCAACAGCCATTTCGGCTACGTTTTCCAAAGGTTCAGGACGCAACGACGTTGTGCATGAGCCAAGGTCAAGCAAGATCCGTAAGCCACCGATGAGGGAAGAGCGCAAAAGGGTTTACATTGGGCCGCAAACCCCACACCCCAAGACCTCAGCCTCCGACACATGCAACCCCTCCACCCAACAATGCTACATATCCAGTTGACGCTGGCGGGGGTAGCCCGAAGACCCCCAAAGCCCCTTTCGGTCATCACTGGGGAGATGGGACAACATTCCCAACCCTGAACAATAAACCCCAAACCACAGAACCTTAAACCCTACATAAACCCTAAACCCCTAACCCCTAAACCCCTAAACCCTCAACCCTCAACCCTAAACCCTAAACCCTAAAGCCTACTTCACAGATCTTCAATCCACCCAAGCCCTGCAGCGAGCGGGCTTCCCTGCAGCCCGGCCGGCGAAATGCGTCGGCCTCAGCCAGCTCTCCCTTTGTCTCTCTTCTGTTTCCCCCGTTGCCCCTAAACCCTAAACCCTAAACCCTAAGCCCTAAACCCTAAACCCCAAACCCCAAACCCGAACCCTTTTTTTTTCACCCCAAGCCCTGAGACTTGTCAGAGTCCGTCCCTTAAACCTAAACCCTGAGGATGTTCAGGGTGTAGGGTTGATAGGGGTTCAGAAGGGTTTACGCTTTACGGTGAGACAGAGACAGGAGGGGTTCATAGCGGGTTATGGATCCTTTGGGGCTTCCAGGGTTTATCGAACTGCATGCGGCAGTCTTCCGCGGGTTTAGGGGTTCATAGGGCTTGGACCTAGAAGCTCCTAATTTTTGTGGATTACTGGAAGGAACCTTCCAACTCCGCACAGGGGGTTTAGGGTTTAGAGTCTAGGGTTAGGGTTTAGGGTTTGGGGTTTGGGGTTTCGGTTTAGGGTACTGTGAGGTTGGGGGGTTCTCTTGAAACTTACGGCTCGGAGGGTTTGGGGGGGTCGCTTGGTTCGGGCAGGCCCGGGCTTGAAGATGTAGGGTTTGGGGTGTATAGGGTTTCGGGTTTAGGGTTTGGGGTTGAGGGTTTAGGGTTTAGGGTTTACTTCCTTATATCGGGCCTATCCTAAGACCCAAAGACACAAAGAAGCCCGAAACCCTAAGCCCTGTAGCCTAAACCCGAAACCCCAAACCCTAAATCCTACAACTGGCTGCCCCAACCGAAGCCCGAAACTCTAAACCCTAAACCCCAAACCCTAAATCCTGCGACTCGCTGCCCCAACCTAGGGTAAAAGAAGCCCCTAAACCCTAAACCCTAAACCCTAAACCCTAAACCCTAAACCCTAAACCCTACGACTCAAAAGAAGCCCCCCCCCCCCCCCCCAGAGGTGGAAAGCCTTGCAAGCCGTGGCCCTCTTCTGCCTGGGATCGCTCTGCTACGCGCTGCTGGGGACCTGGGTTTAGGGTTCAGGGTTTAGGGTTTAGGGTTTAGGGTTTAGGGTTCAGCATCTCAAGTCCAAGCATTCACTAGTCAAGAAATTATTACTCCAAAAAATTCCCACCCGCCCGAAGAATCACACAACATTTAGGAAATATTTCACTTATGGAACGACCTTGCCCAGTAAAAAAAAATGACCTTGCCCAATAAAAAAGTGACCTTGCCCAATAAAAAATGACCTTGCCCAGTAAAAAAATGACCTTGCCCAGTAAAAAAATGACCTTGCCCAGTAAAAGAATGACCTTGCCCAGTAAAAAACTGACCTTGCCCAGTAAAAAAAATGACCTTGCCCAGTAAAAAAAATGACCTTGCCCAGTAAAAAAATGACCTTGCCCAATAAAAAATGACCTTGCCCAGTAATGACCTTGCCCAGTAAAAAATGACCTTGCCCAGTAATGACCTTGCCCAGTAAAAACATGACCTTGCGCAGTAAAAAAAATGACCTTGCCCAGTAAAAAGATGACCTTGCCCAGCAAAAAGATGACCTTGCCCAGTAACATTTTTACTGGGCAAGGTCATGTTTTTACTGGGCAAGGTCAATTTTTACTGGGCAAGGTCGTTTTTTTGGCCGAAACGACCTTGCCCAGTAAAAAAATGACCTTGCCCAGTACAAAAGTGACCTTGCCCAGTAAAAAAATGACCTTGCCCAGTAACTCCTTAACATTTAAATTATATATGAAAGAGAGGTTTAGGGTTTAGGGTTTAGGGTTAGAATCCTGGGGGGACCGTGGGGGGAGGGGGCGGTTTTCAGGGTTCAGGGGTGTTCCCTAAGCTAAGGTCCCTGCTCGAGTAGGCATGATTACTTGGGTTTAGGGTTTAGGGCGTGGGCCTTTGCGTTGAGGGTTTAGGGTTTACTTAGGGTTTAAGGTTTAGAGTTTAGGGTTAATTTAAGAACCACTCCTCATTGCCAACAGGCCTTAAGCCAGATGCGAGTGGCGATCAGTCTTTGCATCATCTTGGGCTGATAGGCTTGTAGAGTTGAAGGTTCCGGGATGTTTGGGGTTCATGGTTTGGGTTAGGGTTTAGGGTTTACGGCTTAGGTAAGTTTGCACAGGGGCAGGGGTTTCGGGCTTCGTCCCAACCTCCCGGTCGTTCATGAATCCCACGATAGGGGCCTGACGTGCTCGCAGGATTCTCTCTCAGCTGTCGAAGTCTGATGACGGTGCAACCGCCAACTTATGGGGTACGGCCCGAAGAGACCATGTGCCTGTATAGCATATACTTGGGCCTTAAAGGTGTTCCCATACAGTAGCTTTAAGGGCCCAGGTATATACTACATAGCTACATGGACCCTAGGGGCGGGTATAGCGTTCAGGTGCACGTCCTGGATGCAGGTTATTGTGAGGGCTTTTCTCAAATCCTACTATTTGGGAAATTTGGGGGTCTATATTTGGGGTCCCGTATTTCGTAGACTCCCATAAGCTTCGGCTGTATGAGCCTCCACGAAGTACGAGATACGATAGTGGATTTCCCCTCAAACCTCCTTTCGGAGAGGAGTTGGAGGAGCGCAATGTAAACTCTAAACCCTAAACCCTAAACCCTAATCCCTAAACCCTAAACCCTAAACCCTAAACCCTAAACCCTAAACCGTGCGCGGGAATCAGGGGGGTCGCAGAGGGAACCTCTCGCGGTTGAGGCCGAGACGACTGTGGCACTCGCTAGAATCCCGATGACCTTCTTAGGGACCCTAAACCCTAAATCCTTAACCCTAAATCCTTGACCCTAAATCCTAAACCCTAGCCCTAAACCCCAAACCCTAAACCCTAAACCCTGAACCCTAAACCGCCGTGTCCAAACGGTGGCGGTTCCAAGTAGGGGGACTTCGGGATTCAGGTAATTACCCCCCAAAATTATGAGGGCCTAACGAATTACTCGTATCTCCTTCATTCCCTAAGAAGGGGTTTAGGGTTTAGGGCTTGAGAACAAAGAACTGCTCATTAGGCTTCAGGGGTTTACGGCCCCCAAACCCTCAGCCCCAAGGCCATGGCCGCAACAGGGACCATGATTTTGGAGACCCGATCCTACATTTGCACAAGAGTCTCAAAGGCAGACCGCCCGTGACAAAGGACTTTCGCCTCAAACTTAGCACCTCGCGAGCCCTACCGAAAGTTCTGTAACCTCTATAGAAGGGGTCTTGGAAGACCCTTTATTTAGCACTTTAAGAGGAGGGTGTTTTCAGGCACCATACGCGGCCTGTGTTATCAGGCTTCTAGGGCTGGGGAGTTGCCAGGCTCCTATGCCTACTCACTTCCGAGCGTCGTCCTCCTGGCGGAGTTTACGAAGCTTTGGATCAGACGCGCCCTCGGGCGAAGGGGTTGAGCAAGCGAAACATGCAACGACTGGGCAGAAAACCTCTAGGAATAGCTGCGTCTCATATTGGTTCGAAATTTTAGTGCTTGAAGGCTTTGACTTTCGTGTTGTCTCGTGCCGGACGCCAGTCACGCCCTTCCTCACTCCCATAAGCCAAAAAGTTGTCCCGTAGGCCAAAGTTGTTGTAGGCTGACCAGTTAATTCGATACTTCGGCCCTGAGCCGAAAACGGCCATTACGGTGAACTAAAGACTTTTGTAGTGCTGATCCCAACAGCTGCCGAAACGTGTGCGTGCCAGCCATGAGCATTGTGACTCCATGGTGCCTTTCCGAGGCATTGCCCACAGCCCTTAAGTATCTGGGCGTTCGGCCCCCAAAGTGTCAGAAGCCCTTGCAACCCTAAAACCTGAATCCAAAATCGAAAAGCAAAGCCCAAGATGTCCCTTTACAAAGCCCTGCCCGAGACCCTTCAACAACAGACCTTGACCACTGACCCTAAACCTGGGTCCTTGTTAGTTAGTCCTTTTAAAATCCCAATAAAGGAATAAAAATGATAATTTTTAATATGACCCCAACGAGGAAGCAGAAACCCTACACCCTACACCCGAACCTCGTCGAAACCCTTCCAAAGCCTTTAGGCCCTTACTGAAGAGATAGAGGGCTAAGGATTCGCAAAAAGGTTTTAGGGTTTAGGGTTCAGGGTTTTAGGCTTAGGGTTTAGGGCTTACCCAGGGTCCATTTGTAGTACCATTATGGAATTAGTACCCCAAAACCCTTTTAAGTATGGTTTTTGAGTACCTAATTCCATGCTGGTACTACAAATGGACCCTCTGGGTTAGGGTTTAGGGTTTAGGGTTTAGGGCTTAGGGAAACCGAAAGCCCGAGTGTTGTCCGGTAAGGCCTTGGTTTCCTGACCGTCGACACAGGCTCCCCGGCACGGGCCGATGCCTTGGTAGGACTGGCTTTAGAGTTTAGGGTTTAGGGTTTAGGGTTTAGGGTTTAGGGCCTCTCAAAGAATGCAAGTTCGGGAGCTGGTTTAGCGTGGTGTTTAGAGTTTTTGTTCAGGGAGAAGCTGGCTATGCCCGTGGGATCCTATACGACCGATGGCTAACAGTCAGCCTTCCGCAAGACAACATCAGGCCAATTGTTCCCTTCAATTGTGGTCTTGGGGTCCCTTAAAATCCCCTTAAAACCAAAAAGGGCCCTTTTTATTCCTGGGTTGCTCCCGGGTCTAGGGGTGGTATGGAGATTCGGTTTAGGGTTTAGGGTTTAGGGTTTAGGGTTTAGGGTTTAGGGTTTAGGGTTTAGGGTTTAGGGTTTAGGGTTTAGGGTTTAGGGTTTAGGGTTTAGGGTTTCTTAGAGGAGTCTCGGGTGTCTTGTAAAAAAGTCTGGGCTTGGAGCGTCATGAATATGGGTTTGGGCAACCCTAAACCCTAAACCCCAAACCCTAAACCCTGAACCCTAAACCCTAAACCCTAAACCCTGAACCCTAAACCCTAAACCCTGAACCCTATGAGCGTTTAGGAGATAGGGCTTCATCCGGGCTCAGGGCTTCACAGAGTTGAGCCCCTGCACCGAAAGCCCTAAGCCCTTAATTCCTGCTGAGAGCCAGGTCCCACATGCTCAGTTATCAAATTTAAGATCCCTTTATTGTGTACCCTAAATACCCTTTATTGTGTACCCTGTTTTTTTTTTTTTTTTGGGGGGGGGGGGGGGGTGCCTTAAAATAAAAGTATAAAAGTAACACGAAAGGGACCCTAATTTAGAGAAATGACCATAGGTTGAAGTGCTCCTTCGTGGCCGAGGCACTGGCCAGCGTGGTCGGCACGTCGCTGAAGTCCTGGTGGCCCACTTGCAAGGAGTGGGAGCATCTTGAGAAAGCCGGGTCTTAGAGTTTTGAGGGTTTAGGGCTTAGGGTTTGGGGTTTAGGGTTTAGGGTTTGGGGTTTGTTGAAGGTGTGCTATGGAGATGCACATGTCGAGTTAAGCGCGTAGTCGAACTCATGTGAGGTGGGCACGGTATTTTCAGCCCCACCCGCCCTCCCACCTTAGCAACCCATGCTGAGCCTGAACCAGAAACCCTGATCGGAACCCAACCCTCGATCCGAACCCGATACATAAACCCTACCAACCCTAAACTTTATAAACCCTAAACCCTAAACCCTAAACCCTAAACCCTAAACCCTAAACCCTAAACCCTAAACCCTGAACCCCAAACCCTGAACAACCCTAAACCCTTTGTAGGGCTTTTGGGGTTGCAGCTCGGCCCGAAGCCCTAGAAGTCCAAAGAACTTGTAAGACTTATAATGCTCAGGGTTCAGGGTTGAGGGTATGGGGTTTAGGGTATAGGGTTTAGGGTTTAGGGTTTACGGTTTAGGGTTTAGGGCAAAAAAAACGGTTCCCTTAGAACCTGCAGAAAGCCCAAATATCAACCCTCCTCAACCCTTCTGAATCTTTCTCAACCCTTTTCATTTCAACCCCTTATCAAGCCTGGTAAACCTTGTCAATCCTTTCCAACCGTTACAAACCTATATTCAAGCCTGGTAAACCTTGTAAACCAAACCCTAAACCCTGAGGCCTAAACCCTAAACTAGACCCTACACCCTAAACCTTAAACCCTACACCCTAAACCCTAAACCCTAAACCCTAGACCCCAGGCTGGTCTTTGCCATTCCTTCAGCCTTGTACTCGTGGGGAGCCTCAGCGATTTCTCGAAGTCGGTAGCTTCGGCTCTAGGGTTTGGGCTTGAATGAGGTAATAGCGTTCGGGTTGAGGGTTTGGGGTTTGAGGTTTAGGGCCTAGGGCTAGGTGTTAAACCTGAACTTTAGGGTTGGGGGTTTCGGGGATTGGGGTTCAGAGTTGAGGGTTCAATTAAGGGGCTCGGGTTTTCCAGGGTTTCGGGTTAAGTAGGGTGCAAAGGACCCGGAGTTTTAGAGTTGAGGGTTCGGGTCTCATCGGTTGGAGGGTTTGCAAGGTGGCGGCTCTAATAGGTTTTGAGGATTGGGGTTGGTTTAGGGCGTACACTTTAGAGTGTAGTCGGTTCAGATCTATGGATGTTAGGGCGTTAAGGTGTAAGGTTGGGGGCTCAACCCGACACCCCAATAAGATCAAGGCCTCCCTTGCCGGAGGACACCTCCCCCCCCCCCCCCCCCCCCCACGTTCGGAAACCACAATATGGCACAAAGTCCACTAGAAGTGCATCAGGTCCCGGCGTGAGGGCTGAGGGAGCTGAACAACCTACCTAAACCCCAAACCCTAAACCCTAAACCCTAAACCACGAACCTCTCAGGGAGGATGCTTGAAGATTCGATTAGAAGCTGTAGAAAAAAAGACCTGAAGTTCAGGTTAATCATGATCACTTACTTCCCTATTCATACATCATACTGCCAGACTTACACACACAAATGTACATATACATATATATGTATATGTATATATGTATATTATATAGAGAGATCATATGCCTAAACCCGTGAACCTTCGACTGGGTAGGTTACCTTCAACCTTTTGGTGATATAGAACCCTACTCTATGCCTTAGCAGGTTAACGTTCTTTGGGCTGGGGTATTCAGCCCCTAAACCCTAAACCCTAAACCCTAAACCCTAAACCCTAAACCCTAAACCCCCAAGAAAAGAGGCTGAACAACAACCTAGACATGCTCAACAACCAGCACATGGACCCGGCCACGGAGCAGGTCCTTGTGCAGGCGGCAACATGGGTTTAGGGTTTAGGGTTTAGGGTTTAGGGTTTAGGGTTTAGGGTTTCGGGCAACATGGGTTTAGGGTTCAAGGTTTAAGGATGCTAAGGTTGAAGGATGCTTTTGTACTTCAAGTGTACCCTTTTTGGATTTTTTGAAGGGCCTTCTCATAGGGTATCCCTAAAAACCAAGGAAAACGGCTTTATTTTTTTCGTCCCTTTTGCTCTAGGGAATCCTATTCTCCAGTATTGGGGGCCCGAAGACATACTATGTACGCTGCTCTGGTTATGGTTCAGGCTCGCTCGCAGAGAAAGGCCAAGAAGTCCCAAAGGGCTTGGTGCTTTCTGAGGCTGAACAGCTCGATGCTCACACTTGGTAGCCCCGTGGTGCCCGTTTCCTTTTTTTCCAAGCTTCCCTTCGTAAAGTAGCCTTACTGAGCTACCAAGCATAATCTAGAGGTCGGAATAGTTGCTAGTGGTATCCCTTTATGGTCCCCATAATGACCACCAAAACACAATTTAATATAATTCCGGCTCTTATACATAATCAAGCTCAAAAAAGAGGAAGGCCTGAGCATCCTTCTCTGCGATTTTAGGGCTTATGTTTTAGGGTTTAGGGTTTAGGGTTTAGGGTTTAGGGTTTAGGGTCAGGGTAAGCCTATTTGGGGCATGATTATATTTCACATCTCGGCATGTCCTAGAAGTTGAGTCACACCAGCGCCTTGAAGCACCTTGCATAATTGCATAACAATTTGGGCGTTCTTCTGGGTGTCTTGTTCCCTCCCAATGCACTACAATCCCTCTGGCAACCCCAAAAGACCACCCCCCCCCCCCCCCCCCCGCCAATATTGTCGGAAACACCCAGATGGTTTCCCTTGAACACCCAAAATCCTAAACCCTAAACCCTAAACCCCAAACCCCAAACCCGAAACCCCAAACCCTCAACCCTCAACCCTCAACCCAAAACCCCAGACCCTACTTTCCGGCCCTCTCGAACCTTAGAAGCTCCCTTCAAGGCCCTATAACCCCCAGCGTACTTAGGGTCGAGGGTTTAGGGTTTAGGGTCTAGGGTCTAGGGTTTAGGGTACAGGGTATAGGGTATAGGGTTTAGGGTGTGACATAGCGTCTAGGGTTTAGGGTTTGGTGTTTAGGGTTTAGGTTTTAGGGCTACTTGAGAAGTGCTGGGTGGACATAAGTAGCCACCGAAGCAGCTGCAATTGCAAGTCATGTCTTTCTGGGCGTAGGCTTGGGGCCCTAAACCCAAGCCCCACACCCTAAACCATAAACCCTAAGTCCTAAGCGCTACACCCAACTGGCTAATCGATTCAAGGGTATGCCATTGACATATGCTGTGGGTCATCTTTAGGAAGACTTTTTCAGAAAGTTGAAGCAACCACGAAAAGCTCTGAATTACACACCCCCGCCCCATTGAAGAGGTTTGGGTTACTACTATTTGCTTAAGAACCCCCAAAAAATAGAAATAGAAATAAGAATCATCCCTATATTACCCCTGATAAGCAAGAAGATTCTTCATATTTTAGGGGTGGGCGGGTTCTTAAGCAATTGGTAGGTTAAGAGCTGAGGCTTTCCCAGCTTTTCAACACCGCCATCTCGTGCTGAGGCCAAAATCCTGACGACCGGAATCGTCTGGTGGTGATGAGCTCAGCAGGTTGTTTGACCCTAAACTAGGCCCGAAACCCTAAACCCTAAACCCTAAACCCCTACACCCTAAACCCTAAAACGACATCGTTCCTTCCCAAGCTCTTCACTGGTGCTGTGTGAGATCATAAACGTTTATGGGCGTTAAGCTCTCACGCTTTGGGAGCAGCTATGCCCCCCCATGCCCTACGCCTGCAGCCCTTGCTGTGCTGGGACATGTTTGCATTGCTGTTTGAACATTGCAAACCCTAAACCCTAAACCCTAAACTCCGCTACCCTGAGCCCTGCGCCCCACAACAGCGGACCCTGAGCGAGACTTGAACATCCCCGGTCTCCTTCAGGCCTACAAGGAGGGGCCCCCCTACTTATAAGTAGAGTTATAAGAGCCCTAAATTGGGTTATAAGGATCCTAACCTCTAGTTAGTATATATAACAGCCCTAAGTTGGGTTCTAAGGAGCCTAACTTAGGTTATAAGTCCCTTAACTGTAGTTAGTATAGTACAGGGGCCCGTCCTTGTAAACCCCAAGGCCCTAAGACACACTGGGGCTTCTAAATGACTGAAGGTCGAGAAACACAGCAACGACCGGGAGCTTTAAAAAGTTGAGGGATGAGGCCCGCCTCAACCTTAAACCCTAAACCCTAAACCCTAAACCCTGAACCCTGAACCCTAAACCCTAAACCCTAAACCCTGAACCCTAAACCGGGTCGAGTTCCTCCGCCATCCTCAGTGCTGAGGTGGGTCTTCGGCCGCGAGATGGGCGTGCGCAAGTGGAGCGGGCTGCTGCTGCTCTTTGTGGGTGGAATCCTCAGTATTCCAGCATGCCAATGCTGGCATCTTCAATCAAAGTAGGGTTCCCTAAACCCTAAACCCTAAACCTTAAACCCTAAACCCTAAACCCCAGAACTAAGGGGTTTTCGAGCCTCTGGGAAAAGGGACTGCCGCCCAGCGCAGGTGGACTGGCTCCAGCTTCTGAGCTTGAGAAGTGTAGGGCTTCGTAGAGGAAATGCCGTAGCCTAGTACTGAACAGAGTGCTTTGGGGTCAAGGGTTTAGGGTTTAGGGTTTAGGGTTTAGGGTTTAGGGTTTAGGTTTAGAGTTTAGGGTTTAGGGTTTAGCAGCCCTCTGCATATTCCTAGGTTAAAGACCTGCCACAGTCGAAACATGAGGAATCATTAGCAGCCTCATCCTCCCAACAAGAACTCCATCCCTAAATCGGATCCCCATCTATCGTAATATGGCGCTTATGAGCGTCTAGGTGCCCTGCGTTTGGGAAGCCACCCGCCCTGGCCTTGGCCAGCTATGCGTGCCAAGCGCTTCCCCAGCATGCTCCACAGACTCTTTGTTGTTCTTTACTGTAACTTTAGATCTTTAGCTTTTTTGGGTTTATTGGGTTTCTTAATCAGGCAGCTAAAAATTTCATTTATAGCTACCCTCCTAAGTGCAGCCAAGGACTCAGCTCCTGGTTGCTGTGCTGTCTTCTTGTGAAAGGACAGGATAGCCGCCTAGATGGGAGCTTCTTTAAACTGAGGATTGCTTTGGGGTCGTTATCCCAGGGATTGCATGGAAGTTAGGGGGCTTCTAGGCGGACAGAAGGTTTGAGAAGTAGCCCTTGGGTTTCCGTATCTGCAGATAAGCCAAGCCTTTTCGATTCATTCCCACCATGATGTGCTGGTGGAAGGACAAGAGAAGCATCTTTGGTGCCAAACATCTGACGCCAGCTGTGTTGGGCGGCAGCACGCGTGGCTTGAACGTAAAGCGATGGACCCGCTTCCGAATAATTTTCTTCATGAACATGTGGAGGTTGCAGACTGGAATGGGGACGGCAATATGGACATTTTAGGGATGGAAAGAACTTGTGACACGCAGCTGCATGAACTTCCATGCAAGCATCAGCTGCGCGTCTTCGAGCGTTCTTCAAACGGTAGCTTCTCTCCTCACGATTTGGTGAGTCTGAACAGCTCAGACTCCGGACCGTCTCGTTTTGTGGTTGTAGATTGGGACCTGGATGGAGAGTTAGATCTGCTGGTCTGCCTCAACAGTGCTAACGTCAGTTGGCTGAAGCGTTCTGGGTCACTGTTTGCGCCTGCGAGGGCCGTCTTCTCACTTAATGTGTCTGATGCAACGGATGAAGCCTGTAGTCTTTTGCAAGCAGTGGACTTTGATGGGGACGGCGACATGGATCTCTTTCTTGGTACCAGGTATTTTGAGCGTACACGGGAGGTGCTCACTGAACGTACTGCCGATGAACATCCTTTAAGCCAGCTGGTGCAAGCGGACAGCTCTTATGGGCTGCCACTTGTAGCTGATGTGGATGGTGACGGGCGTGCAGAAGTTCTGATTCCGACAGGTGCATCCTGCAGTTGGTTGCACTTCTTGGGAAGTACTGCCCATTGCGTGTCTTGGTAGCCCAGTGGTACCCTTTACCCTTTCTTTTTTCTTGGTTCTGGCTTCCCTTATAAAATCACCAGCCCCAACAAGGGTGCCCTTATTATAATATGGCTACTGGGCTACCAAGGTGTGGGGGTACCGCTACTTTCGCCGTGCTGCTGACGGAACTTTCTTTGAAGCAGAGAACCCATTTGCGAATTTTATTTGGCAGGAAAGGAAATCAACGTCGGCTCCGTACTTTACATCTCGGCCATACCTAGTGGACTGGGATACAGATGGCTTGCCAGATCTAATGACCGTCAAGGATGAGTTTGGCTATGGCCAGGGAATGTTTCTGGACAGCTTCTACTACGTGCATGTTTTGGAAAACAATTTGAGACGCAACTCTCACATGACGGCCTACGCAGATGCGCATTTACCCCTTCATGCGCCTTTTGCTTCAGCTGGCCCTCCAGAGTTCAAGTACATCTTTGATTGGAATGGCGATGGTGCTCTAGATGTGCTGGTTTGCTGGAGTCCAAACTATTCAAACCGCCGGACGTGCACCTTGTGGGAGTTGAACGACCACGGCCTGGAATTGGTGCAAAAACCTTTCGGGAATGTTACCGAGGAAGTATGGCATTCAAAGAGCAAGATCTTTACCGACTGGGACGGGGATGGTGAGCTGGACATCATCTATGTCGCTGGGCTTTACAATCCGTTGGCCCCTGGCTTTGAGTTCATCCGTGCAAATCTCCCTATCATGAGATGGAAGCTTGGAGCGCCAGAACCACTCCAACTTGCAAAGGTGTCAGTAGCTTGGCCATATTACATGTACGCCGTGGACTGGGACAATGACCAAGACATGGATATCTTGTTGGTGAACGGGCTCGGCGACTGGCGGCTCCTGGAACAACTGAACGATGGATCCTTGCATGTGTGGTCAACGCAGGAACGCGCCTTGCAGCCTCTTTTGGGCTTGTCACACCGTGACATCGTAGGTTTTATTGATTGTGATGGAGATGGCGACTGGGACATAATTCGGCGGGACTGGCCAACCGCGCATCTTCAAGCTTGTGAGCACACAGGCCATACCCGGCGGTGTGACAACAGCTTTCTGTGCCTTGGCACAAACCTGAGCAGTTCCTCCCTGGCTGCTAACTTTCCAGACATTGAAGGCTTTGGAGACCTCCGGAATGGGGACCTTAACCTCATATCTACTGGTTTGCAGGTATGGAGTCCTGGCTTCTGTGTTCCAGAAAGCCCTTGTCACGGAAAAGGCTTGTGCTTCCCTGGGAAAATGAATTGCAGTTGCCTCAATGGCCACGACCTACCGGATTGCTCTGGCTGCCAGCTTGGTTTTCACGGTGTTCCAGACGGGCAACAAAACTGGCACAGCTGCCGCGCATGCCCCGGGGAATCTGGGAATGTCTGTCATGGTCGCGGCCGATGCATGGATGATGCAGCTGCAAAGGCAGCGAAGGCAGGGCTGGGAGAGGCGACAGGTGCTTTAATGGCACATGGCAATGGTTCCTGCGCTTGCCATGAGGTTTATTTTTTTGGGGCTGACGATGAAGGCCGGAATGTCTGCGTCAATGGACAATGCCCGTCAGGCACAGAGGAAGTTGCTGGAGCCTGTCGGCCATGTCCACCAGGCTTTCAATCATCGGAGGGTGACATTTGTTGGAAATGTCCGGGCGGCAAGTATTCTTCGAAGGGGGGCGATATGTGCTTGAGTTGCCCTTCAGGCACTGTGTCAACGGCTGGAAGTGCTGCATGCACGCAGTGTCCTCCCGGCAAATATCAATCCAAGGATCATCTGTGGTGCCTTGATTGTCCAGCCGGTCTCGTTTCTGACGGGCGAGCGGATTCCTGCGCTGAGTGCCCAGCCGGCTCGTCTGGAAAGTCACGCGTGCACTGCAACCTGTGCCCTGCAGGCACATTTGCAGAAAGAGGCAGCTACGAATGTAGGGCTTGCCCTTGGGGAACAGTCTCCGCTCAGGGTAGTGAGGTTTGTACCCAATGTGAGGCTGGTCGTTTTGCTCGCAACTCGAGCCTGTGTGAGCGATGTCCTGGAGGAAGTTTTGCTCCGGCTGGCGGCCACACGTGCAAGTCTTGTCCTACTGGTTACGTGTCTCCACCAGACCGGGCTTCGTGTACGAGTTGCGAAGGGCTTCTGATACGCGCAACTCCGGATGTTTCGAGGCAAACTTGTCAAATCCAGTACTTGGACGTTGCCTTTGCTCTGATCTTGCGGGTCATATCAGCGTGTTGCGCTTTCCTGAGCTTGAGCGGATGCTCTGGTCAGCTGTCCATCGAGGATGTGTCGTCACTGCGATCAAATCTGGTTGCCACGACTTGTGTGCCGCACAGATTGTTGAAGAGAAAGGGGGCATCGACGCATGTGAGCTTCAGTGGCACAGGTGTCTTTGATTTAGACAAGGCGCCCTCGCCCTGGACAGTGAAGGCCCTCAATGAGCGCCAGCTGACACTACACAGCCAGAAGCAAATCAACGTACCGTTGGATACGTCCATGGGACAATTGCGCCTACTTTTCCCGCAAGCCTTCCTGGTGACAGGTCTATGCCACTGCCCTCTCATTGGTTGGTGCTTGCTATTCGTCCTGCTAGGGGCAGGAGCTGTCTGTCGAACGGTTCTGATGCAGGGTGGTCTGTAGCATAGCTTGGGACAGTATCTGGTTATCCTTGTCAAATAAATCAAGATAACCTCGAACAGTTAGGGCTTCTTGCATGAGTGATATCAGGGAGTTCGTGCTCTTTCAAATGCGGTGTTGCGCCATAACTTTCTTGGACACACACTCTTTTTGCTCGAGCAGATCTCTTTGCCCTCTTTTGACCTCACAGCTTATAGCTGAAGTTTCAGCAGCACGGTGGTTAGATGGCTGGGGAGGCTTGCTTGGCAAGCGGGAACGCCAACTTGCGCACACGCAGGGAGTTTTGTCTGTTTGTTCCATCCGTGTGTGTTTGTGTACACAACACAGAAAACACATACACACGCGCACACACACACACACACACGCACGCAACACAGCACGGCACGGCACGGCACGGCACGGCACTGCACAGCACAGCACAGCTCGACACAACACAGCAACACACACACACAGAGAGACACACACGCACACACACACCACACACACACACACACACGCACCCACACACACACACACACACACACACACACCTACACACATACACATACACACATACACACATACATACAGACACACAGACACACAGACACACAGACACACAGACACACAGACACACAGACACACAGACACACAAACACACAGACACACAGAGACACAGACACACAGACACACAGACACACATACCCACATACACCTATACACACACATTCACAAATACACACATACACACATACACACATACCATACACACATATACACATGCACACAACTCAGCACACGCACACACGCGCGCAAACGCGGCGCGCACGCGCGCACGCGTGCACACGCATGCACATGCGCATGCACATGCGCACGCGCACGCACACCCACACCCACACCCACACCCACACCCACACCCACACGCACACCCACACCCACACCCACAAACACAAACACAGAGATAGAGACACAGACACAGACACACGCACGCACACACAGAGAGACACACACACACACTCACACACTCACACACACTCACACACTCACACACTCACACACTCACACACTCACACACTCACACACTCACACACTCACACACTCACACACTCACACACACACACTCACACACACACACATACACACACACACACACACACACACACCCACCCACCCACACCCGCCCACCCACCCACCCACCCAGCACGCTCGCGCGCACGCACATGCATCCGCACGCGCGCGCGCACGCACATGCACGCACGCGCACGCGCACGGGCACACACACACACACACCCACACACGCACGCACGCACGCACGCGTGCACCCACCCACCCACACGCACACATATATACACACACACACACCTGCACGCATTGTTGTGTGTGTGTGTGTCGTTTGCGTGTGTGCGTGTTGTGTGTGTGCGTGCGCAAGGAGCTGCAAGCCAACTTGCCTCGGCACTGGCGCTTCTGGCCTTTACTGTGGGGCTCTGCTTTGGCTCCTTGCTCTTCATCTTCTGGCGCAGGCGCCCAACGACCAAAGCTCATGGGCGTGTCACGTTGAGGTAGTCCCCGTGCACATTTTCTAACCCAAAGGGTCCTAAGTACCTACATAGTAGAAAGTAGGGCTTCTATAATTGGATTTACTATCATGGTTTGGGTAAGTGTCCCCCATATCGGTGCTTAGGACCCTTGGGTTATGTAAGGTCCAGTGACAAGTACCGTTAGTAGGCCTCACCCTGCTGTAGCTCGGCAAGAGTTTCGACATTTTCTTGACATGTCGATTGCCCAGAGGGTCCATTTGTAGTACTCTTATGGAATTGGTACCCCAAAGCGCAACATATCCGGTCTTGTCCATGGCGTAGTGGTACATACTCGAAGCCGTCTTCATGCTTTGGAAGCCTCTGAGGAAGAGCGGGCGAACGCCTCTGGCCAAACACCGCAGCCAGTTTCTCAATGAGTGGCCACTGGTCAAGCAAGCCTGTGATCGAGGACCCCAGCGCTCGATCACAGCAAGGAAATTGCAGGACTTCACGATGCTCCTTGGCCCTTGGCAGATCTGATGGTAAAGGTCTGAATCAGACAACGAAGAGGACATTTCCTTTTCTATCTGCACCTCTGTGATGAACGAAGTTCCCCAAATTTGGGTATGGTTTGGGAATCGGTTTTGTTTTGTTTCCCATGTTTTGGGCATGCTAGTCGGGTCTCCTAAGCTTTGCAAGCTTCCGTGCAACGACTGAGGAGCGTTGAGAACGAATTCGGAGGAACTTCTTGCTTAACAACACCTGCAATCGTAAGCCTGGGCCGTGTCATCTATAGTAACACTATCTCAGTCCTGAGCTTGCACAGGTCCGAGTAACTACGTACAGAACCCTTAACCCTATACCCAAAACCTGAAAAAGGGATCATCTGAGATGGGCTTCTGTTCTTGACCCACCCTAAGGGGCCATGTACCTAACTATTGAATACTTGGGCCTTAAAGCACTTCCTGTGTAGGCACTTTGGGGCCCAAGTATATAATATTGAGCGACATGGACCCTTAGGGTTCTTGACCCACGAGTAGTCGTTGCCATGGCGGTGTTGGCGGTGGTGGTGCAGCAGCGGATTTCGCTTCACACGTATGTTTGTCCGGCTTCTTGTGCTACTCTACCCTCAACCCTAAACCCTAAACCCTAAACCCTAAACCCTAAACCCTAAACCCTGAACCCTGAACCCTATAAACTATAAACCCTAAACTGTTCAGGTTCTTTGATGCATTCATCAGGGATCGTTCCATGTATTACGTCTGCGCCAACATCGTGAAGCCTCTCACAGCACCATATGATCTCTCCTTCGCGGAGCTTCCAGGCTGTTTAGCAGTATGCGCTGTTTAGTTTACATATTCGGTTCTGGCTTCCATAAAGTAAGTTCGGACACCCTGCGCAGAAGTATGTGGAGGGTTTAGGGTTGAGGGTTTCGGCTTAAGCTTTTTGGCCACTGAAGAAGAGCCTATAGGCTTGTTGGCCCAACAATGATCGCATGGTTCGTCAGTCACTACTGGGGAATGCCTGTCCGCCACTTTGCAGATGCAGTCTGCAAGCATGCCCAGCTGTGCCAACAAGACTTGGAAGAATCCTCGTATTGGATTTGCACTTTCAGTAACAACCAGATGCGCGTTCAAGAGGAGCTCGGAGAAGGACATTGGCAAAGCTCTTCGTTTTATCTTGCGCTCAGTGGCCCCGAGTGTAAGGGTACAGCGATGATTATTGACGAGCTTGTTTTGCCTCTCCAGCGGATTTGGTGCCTGTTCGAAGTGTGTCAGACAATCTGCCTGTCCAGGGAAGATCACTTTCAAGGTTTGCTCCTTTGCGCTTCGACAGATGTCTTGCAAGAAGGCCAGGCAGGCACTGACATTTCGATTGCTGTGGCGGAACATGTTGAGCAGCTTGACATTCGTGCCGCGCAAGCAACCTCCGAAGAGGATCGGATGATGATTCACGCTCTCATCGAAGATATGCCGGGAGGATTCGATACCATGAAGTCCTTTGTCCGACATACCATCTGCAAAGCATTGGAAGCCTCCCACCAAAACTATGAGTCGACCCTGAAAGACTTACTACAAAAGCTGTCTTCAGTGGAGTCCTCCGGTTCATTTCCCCTCCCAACGCTCCTGGGGAACGCAAAGCAAAGCCACCCGCCCAATGCCAAACACAAATTAAGCATGTGAGGCTCACTGAAGCCCTAAATTACTAAAGTTGCAAGTTCCACGAATGAGACGATGGAGCGCTTGAAAACGGAGTCCTGTTGAGTGTACCTTGATAGTGGAAGCTTAGCACAGCAGCAGGCTTGAAACAATGTTGACGCACGTGCTTTCAAGTTTTCGGGGTTAGGGTCTAGGGTTTAGGGATTAGGGATTAGGGTTTAGGGTTTAGGGTTTAGGGTCTAGGGTTTAGGGTTTAGGGTAACCCTAAACACTAAACCCCCTCATTCCCCCTTTCTTTAGGGCTTAGGCTCCCGTATGGGCCCCTGTAACCCCACGAAGGTGTCCCTGTTCATTCCTAGGTCACTCTCGTCTAGACTTCAGCATTGCGCCGTCGTCTTCCATTTTGTTCGTTGAGTGCCCTCTACTAGAATGACTCAGCTTTAACGAAGACTAACCTACCGAAGAACCGGTACGGTACAATGCACAAACAAATCTCCGCACTTATGAGGGAGTCGAAGCGGAAACCTTTTCGGTCGGCGACCCTATAAACCCTAAACGCTAAACCCTTCTGTCGGGTCTCGAGAAATGATTATGGCTTGGGCTTGCGGGCTTGGCCAATGAAGACAAGGAAGATGCTGCACTTGCAAAGCCTAAACCCTAACCCTTATAACCTCCCAACCCCTAAACCCACAATCACCCCTAAACCCTAAACCCTATACCCTAAACCCTAAATCCTAAACCCCAAACCCTAAACCCTAAACCCTAAACCCTAACCCCACTAAACACCCTAAACCCGACTGAAAGGCTACTGGCCAACCCAGGAACCCGTTCCTCAGGTGCCGTGTCCGCCGGCTGGCCGCAGCAAGCCCCGACCGAAGGAAAGAGGACCCAACAATACTTGGGTTTGTGGGGTTTAGGGTTTAGGGTTTAGGGTTTAGGGTTTAGGGTTAGGGTTTAGGGTTTAGGGTTTAGGGTTTAGGGTTTAGGGTTTAGGGTTTAGGGTTTGTAGGGGGCTTTGGTTGGGATGTTCCCCCTGATACTAACAGCCCTTCATTTAATTGGGATTATAGTACCCCCGATTATAATTCCCATTCAGGACTGTTAGTACAAGGGGGAACATCCGAAGGTTTAGGGGTTTAGCGTTTTTTTGGGGATTTAGGGTTTAGGGCTTGAGGTTTAGGATTTTAGGGGGTTCGGGGTTCAGGGGCTTAGGGCTTAGGGCTTACGGTTTTGGGCGTTTAGGAAGGCTTAGCGTTTCAGGGTTCGGGGTCGGAGCGCAACCAGCCTAGGGCAAGCAGTTGGTGACGTAGGGTTTCGGGCGCTGGAGGAATGCTGGAACACGGGTCTTCATTCGCGCCACACTGGGCCCTCCTCCCCTCAACCGGACCTAGCGGGTAAGCTGCATAGTATATACCCTTAAAGGAGTGAGATGTACCCGAATTACCGGTACATTCCCTTTTGTATTTATGGATATGCAAGTTACTATAGCGGTGGAGCCCGTGCCCTATACCCTGTAGCAGACCTTGAACCATGTTTCCTCAAGGCTGGATGCTGCGTTCGCTGCACAAAGCGAAGTTTGCATTCAGGGTTTTAGGTTTAAGGTTGAGGGATTTTAGGCCTTGCGAGGGTTCACATGGTGTTTGGAGTTTTTGTTGTTTAGGGTTGAGGTGTTAACCCTCCAGACCTGGATAAGAAAACCCCTCTATTTTGTACCCTCTACGAGGTCCCAATGACTACTGATGCCACATGGCGCATGTACTTGGTGCTTCTTAGGTAGTTGGAAGTAGGGTTCCCTCAACCCTAGACCCTAAACCCTAAACCCTAAACCCTAAACCCTAGTTGATATCACCTCCAAGTCAGTCCACGCAGACTCGGTTGGCTGCAGCGACAATGACAACCCCTGACAACAGCGAACCCAAAACCTGACAGCTGGCAAGTGGGCTCCAAAAGCTTAACCCGAGTAGTAGAGTAGGAAACCTTTAACTTTTTTGGGGTAGTGTAAGCCCCTTTTTATCCCAAAGGTTAACCTTCAGTTCCCCCAGGTTACTGGACAACTAAGTAACTCCAAAGTACGGAGATTGTGGTCTACGTAAGTCATAGCTACTCAGTCGATCGCTTGTTGCGCCTAGCACGTCAAGAAGGGTTCTTGCATCCATAATGCTCCGTGTTTGGAGAGTCTCCGGTGAAGAGCTACACACCGTACCTGTGGACGAGCTGAGTGATGTTGCGACCTTGAAGCGGCAGCTTCGATCGAAACACGGCTTTCCCGTGTGCTTTCAACAGCTTCTACATGAAAGCCGGAGACTGGCCGAGGATGAGAAGCTGGATGCTGCCGTGGACGTGCAGTTGATCATATCGCCCCTCGTGGAGGGTGCAGACGGGATGGAAGAGCTGCTTGAAGCCGTTGAGACCGGTGACGCGCAACTTGCGCGCGCGCTGTTAGACGCCGGCGTGCCTACGGACTGCAGAAACGAAGGCGGCGACACAGCACTCATGCGGGCATGTGACAGCGGCAATGTTGAGGTGGTGCGGTTCCTGTTGGAAGCCGGTGCGGCCACGGACTTGATAAACACATATGATCGGTCACTTGGTAGCCGAGTGGTACCCTTTACCCTTTTTTTGGTTGTGGGTTCCCTTATAAAGTAACCAGCCAAAAAAAGGTGCCCTTATCAAACTATACCAAGGTCAGCTCTGCATCACGCATCTGCACGTGGCCAGGTTGATGTGGTCTGCTTGCTGCTGGATGCGGGTGCATCCACGGACTTGATGGATGATGATGGCCTAACAGCCCTATGTCTGGCTTCTCAAAACGGCCATGCCGAAGTCGTTCGCCTGCTGCTGACGGGCGGCGCGGAAACCTACGTTGCAGAATTCAGAACCACACTAGGGCTGGCATCCCAGGCTGGCCATGTTGAGGTGGTGCAATTACTTCTTGCAGCCGGCGCGGGCAAGGACTACAAGGATTTCTATGGCAAGACAGCCCTCATGTGGGCATCTGAGAACCCTAGTAGTAGAGTAGGCAACCTTTAACCTTTTTGGGGTAATATATAATCCCCTTAGAATCCCAAAGGTTAACCTGTAGTTCCCCCAGGTTACTGGACAACTAAGGAAAGGCCATGTGGACGTTGTGTGCACGTTGCTGGATGCCAGGGCGGCCACCGACTTGAAAGATCGTGCTGGCCGGACAGCTCCATAACTTAGCCAATAGTTGAACCTTAAAGTTTTTGGGTTTCCTGATTGAGTAGGAATAAGAAAAGTGTAACCTTTTATCCCACAACCCTAAACCCTAAACCCTGAACCCTAAACCCTAAACCCTAAACCCTAAACCCTAAACCCTAAACCCTATAAACCCTATAAACCCTATAAACCCTATAAACCCTATAAACCCTATAAACCCTATAAACCCTATAAACCCTATAAACCCTATAAACCCTAAACCCTGGAGAAGTAAGGCTCTCGGGAGGGCCGCTGAAGATGGCCGGGTTGAGGTAGTGCGCCTGCTGCTGAACGCCGGGGCAGCCACCGACTTGGCGGAAACGGATGGCCACACAGCTCCTCGGTACAAAGGAGTTTAGGGTTTAGGGTTTAGGGTTTGGGGCCAGTTTAGGGTTTAGGGTTTAGGGTTTAGGGTTTCTTGGGACTTTTTATTTTGTTGCCTTATTGGTTTCCATATCAGAGAAACTCTATTTAGGAATATGTACCCTTATTGGTTTTAAGAGGATTATGTTTAGGATTTTTTTCAGAGGGTTTCAATAGGGCCATCCTAGGCTCTCAGCCGAGCATCTCAATATGGCCAGACAGACATCGTGCACTTACTGTTGGGCGCTGGCGCGGCCACTGATTTGACGGACACATGCGGCCGCACAGCTCTAGGGTGGGCGTGTGAGAATGGCCACGCGGGCGTGGTGGCCTTGCTGCTTAAAGCAGGCGCGGCTACAGACTTCGCGGACGAGCATGACTTCAGAACAGCTTTAGTGTGGGCATCTGATCATGGCCATGCTGACGTGGTGCGCTTGCTAATGGAGGCCAGGGCGGCCAGAGACATGAAGGACGTCTATGGCAAGACGGCTCTCATGTGGGCATCTGAACATGACCACCTCGACGTCGTGCGCCTGCTTCTGGAAGGAAGGGCGGCCGCCGACGCCAAGGACGCTTATGGCAAGACCGCTCTAGCGTTGGCATCTGAACATGGACACCCTGACGTGGTGCGCATCTTGCTGGAGTCCGGTGCAGAAAATGGGACCTGAGTGGCGAAGATGCCAACACAGCTGAGAGGATGGGAGCATGAATCGGCCATGGGGATCACCACAGACATGCAGCCACACCCCAAAACCCTAAACCCTAAACCCTAAACCCCTAAACCCTAAACCCCTAAACCCGAAGGCCTCTGCTCAAGCCTCAAGCCTCTGGTGCGCCCTTTACACCCTCACTTCATCTGGGGGTTTAGGGTTTAGGGCTAGGGTTTAGGGCTTGGGGTGGTTGAGGATTTGGAGTTGAGGGTTTCCTACCACGAGGGGTACCTTGTTGAGGGATTCCTACAGGATTCGTAATTTTCTGGGGCATATTTTGGGGGCCAATGTTCCGCAACCCTGAAACCGAGGACCCGACGTTCCTGGAGAATGCCCAGTGTAGGAAACAAAAATTTCAAAGCTGATAAACATGTCTGTTAAGGCTGCTTAAGCCTTGCATTGAGACAGCACTGGGTTCATTTCTCGCGTCCGAGCTCTACAGCCTGTTTTTGGGTACGCATATGTCCATTTCCCTAGAAGATGCCCCCTTTGGGGTCCTCATTATAAGGCGGCCCCTATTATTTAGGGTACCCAAAAGGGAACCCTCACTTTGAGAACTCACCACGTGAGCATTGCATAATGTATTGGTGCATTCTGTCCTCACCAAAATGTACAAAAGCCTTAAACTCTAAACCCCAATGTAGGGCCGTGACGGGGATGGAGACCCCAGACCCTGCAATCGAGGTTCAGGGCGCAGGGCTCATGGTCAGACCTCCTTTTGGGCTTAGGGTTTCGGGTGTATAGGGTTAAGGGTTTACACGCAGGATGCACATCGATTCCATTGGCGTCCTCTTGATCCTGCTGTACGTTTGGGCTCCGACCTCAACTCATCCGCTGTTCGCGGCTTATCCTAAGCCACCAGTTCCGAAACCCTAGACCCATACTTAAACTCGTAAACCCACAAACCCATGAACCGGTAATTGAGCCCTAACCCCGCAAACCCTAAACCGAAACCCCTAAACCCTACACCCTAAACCCCAAGACCGCGCGCTTGGGTTCTCCAAGGGCTTAGGGCTTCGGGTCTATAGGATGCAGGGTTTAGGGAGAGCATAAGCTTCAATGTGCACGAAAAGAGCTCCAATCCCACACCCGGCCTTCATCTATTCCCGGTTTCGATCGAGCCAACTATCAGTTTCTCTTCCATCACTCTAACTAGGTAGGCACTTGGCACATGTTATATTTTCCCTTATTGGGTTTTAGAGGATTGTATTTAGTAATGCAACGCATTGCCATGCATTGCAATGCAATGAATAGCATGTGTAGAAGATACACATATGGCCACGAAACGCCCACAACAAACAGTATAGATAACAACACATACAACGTAATGTGTGGTTCAATATGCAGCACCATGCGATATGCATTTGTGCCCTCGACATAACATGGCATGGCCTAACAGTATAATACAGCCTAGGTCGTATACATGTACTGCCCTTTTGTTCCCGAATCCAAGGTCTCTGCTTCGGCAGGCGTCTACAACGAGTGGCTGTACAAGAACTTCAGCAAAGATGAAAGCATCCACACGCCGGGACCTCAAGAGCTATGCCTGAACCCTAAGGGTCCATGTACCTCATTGTTATATACTTGGGCCCCAAAGTGCCTATATAGGAAGGCTTTAAGGCCCAAGTATTCAATAATTAGGTACATGGACCCTTAGGGTGAACCCTAGAAGCCCTGCCCTAAATCCTGGTGATTCTCGGCCGCCTGCTCAGCCCACCACCACAGTCTTGGGAAGCTCGGGCCTTAGTTATTATATGGTAGGTCCTGCCAAAGCTCTCTTGCAACCCGGTGTTAGCTACAGGGGGAGGAGACCAGCAAGGCCCATGTCTTCGACAGGAACAAGCGGCAAGCCTGCCGCGGAAACGGAAGGTGAATCAGCCAAATCCTGAGGGTTTGGGGTTGGTCGCTTATAGGGTTCCTAGTCGCCTGAAACCCTAAACCCTGAACCCTGAACCCTAAACCCTAAACCCTGAACCCTGAACCCTGAACCCTAAACCCTAAACCCTAAACCCTAAACCCTAAACCTTCTGAAGCCCTCCAGATCTGCCCTGGCGAAGGTGCAACGTCCGGATCTACAGCATCGGTTGTGCTGTGAATCTTTCTGCCCACCTCCTGCGAGATCCAAGTGCACCTGTGTCGTGCATTCAAATGGGGGGTTTTAGAAATTATAGGAGCCCTGGTATAGGCCCCCCAAAATTTCGGAGACCCTCAAATCTGCTGTGGCTTGTTTTCTTGTATTCTTGGCCACGTGTCGTCGAGGTTCAGCAAGAAAGTCTGATTGTCTGCTTGGCTTGGCTTCTACCAAGGCAGCTGGTCTACAAAACCTGCCGGTGACTTAGCGCTACGTGTGCGGGGCCGTTCTAAGGGTAGTTACATGGGCCCTTAATATGGTCCCTTACCTCCCTTAAAGGGTTCTGAAGTATGGGCCCTTGGGTTTTATATGCTATATAAGGGGTCCTCCCTAAACCCTAAACCCTAAACCCTAAACCCTAAACTCTAAACCCTCTAAGGGCCCATATAAGGGACCATGTAACAAGCTTTAGAGCTGTGGAAGCCGTGGTTGAACGACTATGGCCATGAAGTGGACAGGGTTTACTGGTTTACTGTTAGTTCCTCCTTCTACTAACCGTCCGAAATAGGGATTTTAGTCTCCCTTTTTTCAAACCCTGTTAGGGGCTGTTAGTAGAAGGGGGAGCATCCAAGTTGGGTGTTTGTGGACTTATTGTAAGTTCCTCCTTCTACTAGCAGTCCTTAAGAGGGATTATAGAACCCCTATTTTGTTCAATCCCTATTCGGGACTGTTAGTATAAGGGTGAACATCCCAAGGTGGGTGTTTGTGGGGTTTAGGGTTCAGAGTGGCACTCGCACGGGTCATGGGAACCATGGGGCGGTTCTCAGATGGAGGTCCCTTCGTGAGGCCCGAGTTTGAAGAATCCGTTTATCGAACGTGTCCGCAATGGCCCCTAACCCTAAACCCTGAACCCGTAACCCTCAACCCCCAAATCCTAAACCCTAAACTCTAAACTGGTTCTGTGCAACAAGAGTTCAGTTCAACCGCGGCATAAACAGCCGGAAGCCTGGATTAGAACCCACCTCAGTCAGCGCAACAACCGCCTGAACCACGCTCAGAATACCAATTACCACCCACCAAAATATAGGTTTGGGTTTAGGGTTTAGGGTTTAGGGTTTAGGGTTTAGGGTTTAGGGTTTAGGGTTCAGGGTTTAAAGTTCAGGGTTCAGGGGTTCAGGGTTTAGGGTTTAGGGTTTAGGGCCGAACTGGAAGCCTAACCCTCCTTGGGCCCGAAACTCTCAAGTTCTCGGTGCGTCTTGCAGGACCGCTGGCTACAACCGCTATTGCTGGGCCCGGAGCTTCATCTCTCTGTGCCGTTCGGGCTTGCTGGGTTTAGGGTTAGGGTTTAGGGTTTAGGGTTTAGGGTTTAGGGTTTAGGGTTTAGGGTTTAGGGTTTAGGGTTTAGGGTTTAGGGTTTAGGGTTGGGGGTTTAGGGTTTAGGGTTTAGGGTTTGGGGTTTAGGGTTTAGGGTTTAGGGTTTAGGGTTTAGGGTTTAGTCCACGGGCTTGGTTTCAGGTTCCAGGGTTTAATAGCGTTTTGGGGGTCAAGATTTGGGTTTAGGGCCTACAGGGTTTAGTGCTTATCTTGCCTGCCGTGTGGCTTCAGAGAAGAATGCCTGGCTTTGGATAAGGGTTAAGGGTTAAGGGTTTAGGGTTTAGGGTTTAGGGTTTAGGGTTTCCCTGGCGGCCCCAAAAAGCCGAAAGTACGTATTGTGCATCGAGGTTGGACCCCAACGCAGGCATGATTTGTCAGGGAGGTAAGTAACCAAGAAGCAACAGGGCTCCCGTTCCCCTAAACCCTAAACCCTAAACCCTAAACCCTCAACCCTAAACCCTAAACCCTAAACCATCTCGGCACTTTAGGGCTGGAGGTTGGGATGCTCCCCCTTATACTAACAGTCCTGAATAGGGATTATAGTACCCCATATTATACTCCCTGTTAAGGACTGTGAGTCTAAGGGGGAACATCCCAGGGCTTGGGTTTGAGGGTCATGGTGTGTGGCGCGCAGGGTGGCTTGGGAACCGTGCTGCAGCTGGAGTTCAGTTACCCCGCGCTTCTTTTGTTGACTTAGAGCTCTGGGTGAAACCCTAAACCCTAATTCAACCCTAAACCCCAAACCCTAAACCCTAAAACCCTAAAATTGCGGCAAGGTGTTGAAAGGCTCGTCTCCGCCGAGCACTATGAATTAGGGCACCAAAAGGCTCTGCCTCAAGAGCGTTGTGGGGTTTAGGGTTGATTGGGCTTGGGGTTCACGGGTTCCTAGAGCCCTAAGGCACTAAGGCCTCTGATTTTGGGCGGTTGGGGCCAAAGACCAAAAAGAACCCAAGTAGTTGCCCTACTCCCTGGAATCCTGGATTGGCAGTGCTCCCAGGGGCTTGTGGCAACCTACTCTTTGATGGGCTTGCTGATGGCCCAGGCACCCTGTGTTTTGAGCAGAGTGGCGGGTTCTAAGCGGCCCAGAAGCCCGAAACACCTATACATAGCGCCCCTGAACGCATTTAAGCCCCTAAGCCTTCAACGCCTGCACCGCTAAACCCACGCCCTAAGGTGTAAAGGCTCTTATTTCATCGTGCTACATACGTCTGTGTTGAGGCTACTAGCTGGGCCTAAGGGCCTGCTGCACAACCCCACGATGCCAACCTTCTTCCCTGAGCCCTAAACCGCCGGCCCAAAACCTTATCGGAAGCTTGTGTCTTGCAGTTTGCTTTGGCATTGACAAGGGTGTATTAGAGGTTCACGGCTCTGGGGGTTTAGGGTTTCGGGTTAGTGTACAGTAAGGGGTTGAGAGGGTTTGGGGTCTGGGGTATGGGGTTTCCGGGCTTTGGGTTCTGGAAGAGAGACTTGAATGCGGGGAGGCGGGGGGGGGGGGGGGGGGGGGGGAATTGTCACCTGTTTAGAGTTTAGGGTTTAGGGTTTGGGGTTTAGGGTTTAGGGTTTAGGGTTTAGGGTTGTGCACACTGGCGTGTGCAGGGTGGGGTCCCCGTTCTCGCCCCAAGCAAGCAACATCTGTTTGCTAGACCTAAACCCTAAACCCGAAACCCCAAACCCTAAACCTTTTAGTGCCTTAACGGCAGCCCTGTTGTGAGAGCAGGTGATGAAATACCTGGACAGCATCGTGAAGCTCTACATCTCCGGGTAGGGGTCCCCACGGTTTAGGGAAGTCAGGATTTGTGGGTTTCAACCCTAAACCCTAAACCCTGAACCCTGAACCCTGAACCCTAAACCCTAAACCCTGCGAAGACCACTCTGGGTTCGAGGCTGCATAGGACCCCCCTTGGAGGGACCAGCAAGAGTGACCCCTGGTGATCAGGAACCTCCATACTGGGAACAGGATGGGTTATACCTACTAATTCAGGGTAGTTGCTACTAAACTGTAGGTAAATAGAGGGTCATCAGAAACCGACATACTGGGAATAGAAGCTCGGTATGCTCTTGGGACATTTCATATTTTCCCTGATTGGGTTTGAGAGGACTACATTTTTCTCTTTTTTTTTGGGGGGGGGGGGGGGGGGGCTGTATGGGCCACCCTAGACCGTAAGGGTGCAGGTGGGATGTGACGGTGTGCAGTGCTGGCCTCCTGAAGCCTCAGGCAAGGCGATTCAGGGTTTCAGGGCTCAGGTTATCAGCAAAGGGGTTCGGGCTTTTCTTCGGGGTTCAGGGCGTAAAGTTTTGGGGTGCTGGGTCTGTTGTCCCAAAAGTTAAGCCGAAAGAGTCCCCAAGCCCTAAACCCTGAAACCCCTAAAGTCCTAAACCCCTAAGCCCGAAACCCTAAACCCCAAACCCCAAACCCTAAACCCCTGAACCCTCAGAGTTCTTACTCAGATGTTCGAGGTCCTCGATGTATGTCTCCGCCGTTCTCTCCTGGCTCATCTTCGGAGCCTTGGTGTGGGGTTTAGGGTTTAGGGTTTAGGGTTTAGGGTTTAGGGTTTAGGGTTTAGGGTTTAGGGTTTAGGGTTTAGGGTTTAGGGTTTAGGGTTCAGGGTTCAGGGTTTAGGGTTTCGGGTTTCGGGTTTAGGGTTCATGGTTTAGGGTTGAGGGTTTAGGGTTGAGGGCTTATGAGGGTTCAGAGATTATGGGGCCCTCCAGTCGGACATGGCCCACCCTACAACTCCTGCAGCCCGAACCCCTCGAAACCCGCAACCTCCGCGAAGTCCGTAACCCTAAGCCCTAAACCCGAAAATTCTGAGCCACAACGAGAAGCTTCGTGATATCCCTACACGCATGGCCCCTATACTGAGTGGCCGGCTTCCCTTGTTTGGGGGTTAGGCCTTTAAAGAAGGGCAGGCTTTTGTGGTTCCCAAGTTATAGAGAAGGTATACAGTTACAATAGACTTAGAGCGACTCCGTAAGTTTAGTTCTTCATTCTTTTCAAGTATCCACCTAGGGTCCTCTTCGGAAACCCGAAGCCAATTCGGGTTTGTCTTATAGGCTTTTTGGATTGGCAGATCATTAATAGGACTTTTGGAGTTATAAGTGCACTGGGTTTAGGGTGTTTTGACTGATAAGGTTTAGGGTTTAATGCTTGATGTTCCCCCTTATACCAGCAGTCCTTATTAGGAACTATAGTAGCCCCTGGCAGAATCCCTATTAAGGAGCTGCTAGTATAAGGGGGAACATCCCCAAGTTTGAGGTTTCTGCGCTTCTGGGCTTTCTAGGATCTTGCCCGGTTGCATCCCAGGAGTTTGTGGCAGGTAGTCGAGATGTATGATAGAATACGGAAAGCTATACATGGGGGTGGATACCCCCTGAGGTTTTAGGATCCCTGATTTCTAATATTTCGTCCCAAGCCCCACAGGCTGCTACAGCTAATTGACCTTACAAGTCTTTCAAAGCCCTAAACCCGAAACTCCAGACCCTAAACCCTAAACCCCAGGATACACTCCGACCCTGAACTTTGCGGTGGGGATGCTCCTGGTCACTGTGGCTATGGCGCTTCGGCTCGGTGTTTTTTTGAGTGTCGCGCCAGCTTGCGGGTTTAGGGTTTAGGGGTTTAGGGTTTCGGGTTTAGGAGTTTAGGGTTTAGGGTTTGGGGTTGGGGGTTTAGGGTTTGGGATTTAGGACTTGGGGTTTAGGGTTTAGGATTTGAGCTTTAAGGTTTAGGGTTAGGGTTTAGAATTTAGCAGTTTAGAGTACATGAATTTAGGAGTCTAGGGTTTAGGGTTCAGGGTTTGGGTTTCAGGATTTCGGGTTTGGGGTTTAGGATTTGGGGTTGAGGGTTTAGGGGTTTAGGGCCAACGTCCCCCCCCCCCCCCCCCCCCCCCCCCCCCTTCCCAAGCCAGGTCGGCACGAACACACATCCGGAAAGCTAGACACCTTGACGTGTAGGGTGTAGGGACCCCAAGAGGGTCGCCCCTGAAGCCCTAAACCCTAAACCCTAAACCCTAAACCCTAAACCCTAAACCCTAAACCCTAAACCCTAAACCCTAAACCCACTACATCCCTTACAAACCCCCACCTGAAGACAAAAGGACCGGAATGAAGGTGTTTAAAGTTTAGGGTCTTGGGCGCTGATTCTTCTTCGGTGGCTCGGAAACCTCGACCCGGGTTTTTTGTTAGGGCGTTCTGGGGGTCCATAGGGTTTAGGGTTTAGGGTTTAGGGTTTAGGGTTTAGGGTTTAGGGTTTAGGGTTTAGGGTCCGGGTTACTTGGGTGTAGGGCTTCTAGCAAGGGGCCCCCGGATCCTAAGCCCGACTACTTCGAGGGCTTCGGCCACAAGTAAGGTTTGGAACCCTAAGCCCAAACCCTAAACCCTAAACCCTAAAGCGCAGACTTATAAGGCCCTCTACAACCTGGAGTCGTTGATGCCGAAGAAGGACAAGAAGCAATGAGGCTTAACGAATCGATGAGCCAAAAAACCAAAACCCTCCATTTCGAAGCCCTGAAAGCCTGAAACCCTGAAACCCTAAACCCTAAACCCTAAACCCTGAACCCTGAACCCTGAACCTGAAATCCTAAACCCCCAAGCCTTGATACCCCGTTTGGGTGCACGGGCTCCTGGAGGGCCCTGCAAACCCTAACCCTAAACCTTAAATCCTAAGGTACCGCGAATCTAGACAAACTAGCTACACACGAGAATGGTACCAAATCTTTGCGTATAATGTCGAACTAGAAGTGTATGTGTGTTTTGGAATATGCTACAGATGTCTGTTAAATCGTAAACGGTTCAAGATGTTTAAATCAATCAAACAACCCTAAACCCCAAACTCCTTTCTTGATCTGATACGTATTGGGCCACCTCACCTTAATCCCGGGTTTAAGGTCCAGGGCCAAGGGTCCACACAGGCAAGGGCCTTCTCACAAACATAGTCTTCGGGTTTCGGGTTTTAGGGTTTTGGGGTTGTAGGATGTGTTGGGGTTTTAGGTGGTTGTTTTTGGTATTTTTGCTTTTACATTTTTTGTGTTGGGGGGGTTTAGGGTATTTGGGGTTTAGGCATACTAACTGATACAAACGTTTGCTAGAGTTCTAGAAGGAACTTCACGCCAAAGTTCTTATGCTAGCCCCGACCAAGGGCCATAACTCTACCTGCAACTAGAGGGGACTCAACCCCAAACCCAAACACGTGAACCCTAAACCTTGAACCCCACACACTAAACTCACTAAGCCCTGAACCCTAAGCCCTAAGGCCCTAAACCCCAAACCGGAAACCCTGAACCCTGAACCCTAAACCCTGACACCTGAACCAGCCTCCCTAAGAGAGAAGCCCGCGGGGCCCAAAGTTCGGCTCCCAGACGCAGGTAGTTTGCCAGGGACCCCTCCTGTGTTGCCTCCTTGCTATTGTGTTATACGGGCCCTCAATGTGGTCCCTTATCTTTCAAAGGGTTCTGAAGTATGGGCCCTTGGGTTGCATAGGGTATACAAGGGCCCATGTAACTAACTGTGTATACCTCCTGTCCCTTTTTTGGGTTTAAGATCTTAGGGTTTTTGGTTTCAGGTAATGAGGGTTTAAGGGTTGAAGGGTTTAAAGGGTTTAGGGTCTTAGGGTTTAGGGTTTTAGGTATTTAGGGCTTAGGGTCTTAAGGTTTCGGGCTTGGGGTTTGACGAAGGCTGCGCAAGCCTAAGCCCGAAAGCGCTAAAACCCTTATCAACCCCATGCGCCAGAGTAGGATTGGCTTTTCGGGTTCGGGGCACATGGGTGGTTTTCGCAATATGTTTATAGCACCAGTTTTCAGCAATTCCCCCCCCCCCCCCCCCCCCATATTGAGATTTGGGGTTGTGGTAGTCCGGGGATTTGCGCGCTTGCGTACTTTTGCAGGGCTTTCGCGGGTTGACGGCCTATCGGGGCTAGACGGGAATCTGATAAGGGTTTACACCTTCAGCGACGTGGACGTTGACCGTTGAGGAGGGACTATAGGGCTTAAGGGTACAAGTAGGGCGATTAGGGCTCAGAGTTTGTGATTGACGGTTCTTCAGACTTGAACCTGAAGCCTGTAGTTAAACTACTTCTGACCCAACTCACAGCCCGATGGATAGCTCACTCTGATCTTATACACCTTTGGGGGTGGGAGGGATCCTCACGGTGATATTTTCGAGTTGAGGTCGAGGGTCTTTTCTCAAAAGCTATCATTACTGGATTCCTAAACCTAAACTCTGAAGCCTAAACCCTAAACCCCAAGCCCTAAACCCTAAGCCCTAAACCCTAAACCCTCAACCCTAAACCCTATGATGCATTCATATGAACCTGCAGGCAGACCTTAGGGCCCTTCGAGGGCTTCGTGCTTCGGGCGGCGTCTGGTTCTCACCGCGACCTTGCCTCAAATCATGGGATTTTACCTTGGACCCCGAAGAGTTTAGGGTTTAGGGTTTAGGGTTTAGGGTTTAAGGGGTACATCCTTAGGGGTGCGAGTATGACTCCCTTGATCAAAGGCTTCCATTGCTTCGCAAGGGGGCTCAAAGCAAGTCCCTCTCCCAAGGGAAGGGCCAAAAGAAGCCGGAGTGACAGGGTTTAGTGTTTAAGGTTTAAGGTTTAGGGTTTAGGGTTTAGGGTTTAGGGTTTAGGGTTTAGGGTTTAGGGTTTAGGGTTTGGAAGGACTACATTTAAGACAACCTTATGATTACTTAGCCCATATGGGCTAAATAAGGAAACGCAAAAAGTTTAAAGTTCAACTATATAGTTGAACTTTAAACTTGTTGCGTTTCCTTGTTTTAGTAGGAATCCTAAATTTTAATCTGTTTTCCCTTGGGTATTGCAGAAGTAGCCCCAAACCCCAAACCCTAAAACCTAAACCCCAAACCCTCAACCCCGTACCCCAAAAGGGATCATGTCATCTCGCGCTCGAAGTGACCTTGTCTGCATCTCCCTCTTTCTGGCGTTCAGTCTTGGCAGGATAGCATGTCGCGAAGCAGATGACCCTAAACCCTAAACTCTAAACCCTGAACCCTATACCCGAAACCCTATCTGGGAAATACCATACAGTCCACAGACACTGGCTTTGCTCATCTGGGCTTTGTATAAGATTTCGGCGCGTTCGGAATCTTTCATGATGATGTTTGACGTAGCGTGTCGTTGACAGAACGAATTGCATGCTGAGTCAGCGGCACCGGCCAAACGCAGTGCCAGCGACTGCTTAAGAGCAGGCCAAAAACACAGCGTCAAGCATTCTTTGGCCACTTTTTGCTGGAGATTGCATTGCTGAGTGGCGGATATCATTGAAGCTGGATTCTGAATCGGTAGTGTTTACCGAGCAGCCCTAGCTGGGCTTGCACAACATGTGAGCTTCACGGGCGTGCTTGCTTGACGCGTCTATAAGGCAGCTATCGCGGTGGCAGAACTTATCGCATGCTGAGTCAGCGGCACTGGCCAAACGCAGTGCCAGCGACTGCTTAAGAGCAGGCGAACAGAAAGAGCCAAATGCACAGCATCAAGCATTCTTTGGCCACTTCTGCTGGAGATTGCATTGCGGAGTGGCGGATATCATTGAAGCTGGATTCTGAATCGGTGTTTTTTACAAAGCAGCCACAGCTGGCTTTGCACACGTGGCGGGCTGGCTTGACGTGTTTAAGGCGGCTATCGCGGTGGCAGAGCTTATCGCAAGCTGAGTCAGCGGCACTGGCCAAACGCTTTGCCAGCGACTGCTTAAGAGCAGGCGAACAGAAAGAGCCAAATGCACAGCATCAAGCATTCTTTGGCCACTTCTGCTGAAGATTGCATTGCTGAGTGGCGGATATCATTGAAGCTGGATGCTGTGTCGGTGTTGTTTACAGAGCAGCCACAGCTGGCTTTGCACACGTGGCGGGCTGGTTGGACGTGTTTAAGGCGGCTATCGCGGTGGCAGAGCTTATCGCAAGCTGAGTCAGCGGCACTGGCCAAACGCAGTGCCAGCGACTGCTTAAGAGCAGGCGAACAGAAAGAGCCAAATGCACAGCATCAAGCATTCTTTGGCCACTTCTGCTGGAGATTGCATTGCTGAGTGGCGGATATCATTGAAGCTGGACTCTGAATCGGTGTTTTTTACAAAGCAGCCACAGCTGGCTTTGCACACGTGGCGGGCTGGCTTGACGTTTTTAAGGCGGCTATCGCGGTGGCAGAGCTTATCGCAAGCTGAGTCAGCGGCACTGGCCAAACGCTTTGCCAGCGACTGCTTAAGAGCAGGCGAACAGAAAGAGCCAAATGCACAGCATCAAGCATTCTTTGGCCACTTCTGCTGGAGATTGCATTGCTGAGTGGCGGATATCATTGAAGTTGGATGCTGTGTCGGTGTTGTTTACAGAGCAGCCACAGCTGGCTTTGCACACGTGGCGGGCTGGTTGGACGTGTTTAAGGCGGCTATCGCGGTGGCAGAGCTTATCGCAAGCTGAGTCAGCGGCACTGGCCAAACGCAGTGCCAGCGACTGCTTAAGAGCAGGCGAACAGAAAGAGCCAAATGCACAGCATCAAGCATTCTTTGGCCACTTCTGCTGGAGATTGCATTGCTGAGTGGCGGATATCATTGAAGCTGGACTCTGAATCGGTGTTTTTTACAAAGCAGCCACAGCTGGCTTTGCACACGTGGCGGGCTGGCTTGACGTGTTTAAGGCGGCTATCGCGGTGGCAGAGCTTATCGCAAGCTGAGTCAGCGGCACTGGCCAAACGCAGTGCCAGCGACTGCTTAAGAGCAGGCGAACAGAAAGAGCCAAATGCACAGCATCAAGCATTCTTTGGCCACTTCTGCTGGAGATTGCATTGCTGAGTGGCGGATATCATTGAAGCTGGATGCTGTGTCGGTGTTGTTTACAGAGCAGCCACAGCTGGCTTTGCACACGTGGCGGGCTGGTTGGACGTGTTTAAGGCGGCTATCGCGGTGGCAGAGCTTATCGCATGCTGAGTCAGCGGCACTGGCCAAACGCAGTGCCAGCGACTGCTTAAGAGCAGGCGAACAGAAAGAGCCAAGCGCAGAGAATTGAACAGTCCTTGGCAACTCTTTGACCGTGGATTGCTCCGCCGGGGGGACAGACAAATGTCGACAGCCAGACTTCGCGGAGTCTTTAGGGGTTTAGGGTTTAGGGTTTAGGGTTCATAGTTTAGGGTTTAGGGTTTAGGGTTCACACGAGCTTCATAAATGCAAGCCCGGAATCCGAGCTCGGCACAAATATAGGGGTCGGAATATGTTACTCAGAGTATTCCCCTAGGGTCCCTTCGTAGCTATACTACATGAGCTCCCCCAAAACCCGATTCTAATTATCAAGGCCCCTATAAACCCTAAACCCTAAACCCTAAACCCCTCTAATTCTTAAGGCCTCTAGAGTAGGCATTCTTGGGTTGCTTTGCTGTGGACGGCCATGCCGGGAACCGGAGAAAGTTCTTAGGGTTTAGGAGTTTGGGGTTTAGGGTTTGGGGTTTAGTGTTGAGGG